CCCTAGCCCGATAGATGAACGTTCTTCCACTATACCGGTTTATTCGCGTATGGGCCATGGATTTGAAACCATACTCATATCAATAATTTGTGTGCAGTCTTATTTTTACTATGTTGGTGCTGGATTACAAGTCAGAGGGGTATCCAGTCACGCAAACCTAAAAACATAGTTATGCTGCTGTGTACCAATACATTTTAAGCGAAGGACTTATTAAGGATTTTAATCGGTCTACACTAAGACAGATTACTGAGGTACATCTTAGTGAGTCGAATGAAGTCAAAAAATCGCACTAGATATTGTCTGAAAATGCCAAATGTTTTAGTTTAGACAAGAAATTGCGACGAGTGTTAAAGTGCTTCAGCCATTAGCTGGTCTCGTACCCCACTCTTTTGAAATTTTTAAAGGAATGCTGAACGAACTTCCGTCGGTTCGGCAGTTGATGTTGATCTGCAGCCGCTCCTCAGGATAGGCGTCCATCGACCCGGTGGAGGGCATGGTACTGAATAGGCTGGAGGCGAGCTCGCAACCCTGCTTAACCCCATTGGTCACCGCGAACGCTGCAGGGATTTCATCGTTGTCCGTGGCACGTGAAATCTTCCCGCCGTGAGGTCGAAGTGCCCTTGATATCCAAATTTCAGCATCACTTCCTAGAGTTCATCACGGTTGACTGAGTCTAGGACCTTCGTTAAGTCTATAAAATGTTGTGGTTAGTTTTCATCACTTGACACTTCACCTTCAGTCGGCAGGCTGCGAAAATTCTGAAGATGGTTTCGCAGCTCCTGCGCAATACATACGGGTCTTCTGAGAGAAATGCCTGCTCCAGTTGCATGTTCAGACGATTAAGGACAGGACGCAAGCGGGGACTTCCCTGTCCCGTACAATACCATTGTTCCGACTAATGCCTCGTAAATTTCGCGTTTCGTGCTGGGTCGAAACCCACGACGATTCCAGCTGAAGGTCTGTGGCCGGTTGAAAGCCTAGCTAGGTTTGGTGATCCAGTAGGCCACATCGTCGACGCTTCTGGTGATAGAAGCGAAGAGACAAGTCCCAGGAAGTAGTCTTGAAGAAGGAGGCACGATCGCCGGAAAAAGAGACTTATTAGCCTGACGTTTCGAATTCCTACTCGAATCCATCATCAGAGACAAAGAAGCAGAAACGGATGGTTGTTGCACAAGAGGCTGCGGTATTTATAGGATGCAGTAGCCATGCTACCGCATGCCTATGAACATTCACGGCTCCCTCCTTCATCCGGGATCGTCGCACTTGGTGTGATCATTGCTTGATGGCCGACATTCGAGTCGATAATTGCTGCAATTTCATCCCGTGCGTTGGATGTTGGCGTGATGATTGCTCGACCATCTGACGTACCGACCCCGGTGTTGGGAAAAGTGTTCACCTCTGCGCTCCCCGCATGGCTTGTTACTCCGCCTAGGCGGAGTTTCAGCACGGAGTATGGAATGGGAAGATCGTTGCACTGGTTGATCCCAGAGCGCCCATCGTACGTTCATCGGCAAGGCAGAGTACGTTATACTGAAGAGGATAAGGGTCAGTATGAAGCCCTGTTTCATTCCCTGGTCATTATGAATGCTCCTCTGCGCATTTCTCCTCCGCCATTCACTCTCTCTGCTCTCTACTCTAACCTACTATCTTATCTCGCGGTCGGAAGTCCTACGGCAAAAGCGACAACAGTCAGGCAGGCGACCCCGGCCACTTGTCACTCTCTCACTAAAGCTCGTGAGCCACAGTGGAGAGCGGTATCCGTCCGGTACGTCAACGTGGCCCTTTTTAGGGAGGGCGCTGCTTTTTCCGCGAGGAAGAGGAGCTAGAAAAGATGCCCTAAACAAAGCTGGTTTCACGGCATTTGCGCGCAGACCGTGGCTCGCAGACAATTTAACATGTAGTCGAAACCGAAACAAAAGATAAAACAACTCTCTTTTTTCACCTTTCCCGCCGCCCCACCCCACAGGCAGCAAGGGTGAGTTCGTCCAGTCTGGCGGCCTGGGATGCCCGTTCTCTTTTAGATAATCCGAGGAGAAACCTGCCGGAACGAAGAACGGTGCTAGTCGCTCGAGAACTGGCGCGCCACAAGGTGGACATTGCTGCCCTCTGCGAGACCCGCTTCTCCAAACAAGGCCAACTGGAGGAGGTGGGTGGCGGCTACACCGTCCTCTGGGGCAGTAGCCCCAAAGCAGAGTGACGGGACGCGGGCGTCGCCTTTGCCATCCGGAACGACATCGTGAGACTTCTGTTCTGCCTGCCAAAGGGCATCAACGATCGCCTGATGAGCCTGCTGATGTCGGCATGTCTAAGCAAAGGATTGCCTAAAGACGTTATCACTGCACTGTAGAGCATAAAAACACAAATTTGCGAATCCGATCCTTAAAATCGATAAAACATCTGGTTTCCTACGAAAATAATCTGTGTGTTCGCAACTACCTTCGCGCGGTTTACCTCGGATACAAATTACTTATCGATTAAGACATGTCATTTTTGGTAAAACTGAAGATATATTACTTCACTCTAAATAAAAGCATGCCCTGTTGCGCAAACTAAGTCTAGGACAGCCATTAACGTAGAAAATCGCCTGAATGTAGGCTAAAGTAGATTCCCGTTCAATGTCATAAACATTTTGCCTGATAAAATTCCTTAGTCACACATTCTACACGATAAAGGACATTTTTTCAGAAGAGACGGGCCGAATAAGCAAATTGAGCAACATTTTATGTGTATAGCAATTATCTTATTAGTTCCCTTCATGAGATTTTATGAGTTGAGTCTCATACTGTATCCTGGAATATAGCTATGATTTTGCCAGTCGTCGGTCGCCCTGTTTGTAGACTTGGGTCGTGATCGCGTCAGATTGCGGTGCTTTCGAACTGAAGTACTGTTTTGCTTTTCGATTTTTTCTAGAAGGGAAGACAGATGGTCGAGGCCGTTGTTCATTTCTACCCGGAGAGTCCTTTGACGGCGACTCCGGGGACTGTGGACTGTCGACTGGGGGCTCTTCTGAAGTGCTCGTCCTTACGTTTTAGAATTTCCGATTCTTCTAAGGAACCGTTGGTCCTTTGGTGCAGGGGCCGTAGACTGCATTACTAAAAAAACAGCGAATTTCTCCATTTCACTGTGTGCCACCCAGGCGTCCTGCATTTCCCAGGGTTTCTGTTACACTAGTCGTCCAGAGCGGGAGGAAGTTCGTTTTGGTGACGTCGGCCCGATGGTTGATGTGATGTTTTTTAATGCCTACTCTCCTTAGCTAGAAGGTTGGTGATTTCGCTGTCATTGACATTAAACTAGTCCTTGTGTTGGCGATGTGCGCGACTCAGAACATTCATGGCAGTGGAGCGGACTGTGTTCTACAGTTGATACCACTGTGTTTCCCACTGATAGCGTTGTCCTTCAGAGCCTTTACTTACTCCAGGCGCTGTGCCAGTTTAATTCTGAAATTAAGGCGGTGGGCAGACACATTTTACAAAATAGTATTTAACTTACCTTGGGATCTGCTGCGAGATTGCAGCCGAGGCCTCATCTTGGAGATGACGAGGCGGTGATCGACGTTGTGGGTTGCATTCGTCACGAGCATGTCGTTGCAGTTACGCCTCCGAATGCGAATGTAGTCCAACGACCGCCGGCAGCAGGATCGGCGATTCATGCCAGAACAACGATTGCATCTTTACCTTCATCATCTTCTTCCTCTAAGGAGGCCGTTGCCGTAACAGCCGCTGATCCCACGGGGACCCAGTACTGCCCTCCAGTCAGCTGTTCATTAAGGGGACGTAGACACTGTGTATTGTGGCGAATGGGGTTCTCGAAGAGGCACGCACAGGCTCATGAGGCCATCGTTGATACCCTGCGGCAAACAAGGCAGTCGTCCCATTATGCCATTTCGGGTGACAAATGCGACGCCTGCATCACGTCGCTCTCCGTTTGGGCGGCCGCTAGAGAAGAAAGTGTAGCCGACGCCCACTTCCCCCAGTTGGCCTTGTTCGGGGCGTCCAATTATGTCCACCTTATGACGTGTCAGTTCTCAAGCGACCAGTCTCGTCCTACTTTTGCACCCGGTTGCTCCGAGCACCGTCCAAATAAGGACGGAAATTCCAGGCTGCCAGAGTAAGCTCAGTAACCCTAGCAGTCTGTTGAATAGAGCGGAGGAGATTCGGACGAGGGCTGTTATTTGTTTGATTGTTTCGGCCTCGCATTTTTTCATCTGCTAGCCACGAGCTGCTTAGAGATGGCGTAATTACCCAGCACTTAGTTTGCACACTTTTTCTATTCCCTTCTTCCAAGAGAGGTAATTAGTGCTACCCCCAAATAGGGCTGCTGAACGCCACCATGGATCACGGTTAAGTTCAGTAAAGGGAGATCTGAGTTAGCCTTAAAAACCTAAGGGATTTCATGTGTCCCTCTCCGTAGGCTTTTTTACGGTGTAGGGAAGGAGAAGAAATGGTAAGTGGAGCACAATTAGCAGGTTTGAGGACACTCACAACACCGGATACCCTGGGCTGGTTTAGCCTGCCGATCTCGGCGTTTAACGGGATTGCGAAAATTCCCATTGATTAATTCAAAAGGTAATTTGGCGAGCATACGTCTGCTTTCGATAAATTCTCGTCATGCCTGTTCATTTATATGGCTATTGAAGTAACGAATTAAAAGATACGGGCAAGTAGATAATTATGCTGTAGTTCTAGTTTGGGGAGGGGAGGAAGAGAGTGAAACACCACAATTCCAATCAGCACCAGGGAGAAGGTGGGTTCCAGTGAA